ACACACACACACACACACACACACACACACACACACACACACACACACTCAGTTCTGTGTCTCTAGAAAACCCTAAAGAATACCAAAGATGGCACAGCAAGGGAGTGAGCTCACACCGTGACAACACTATCAGAAAAACCGGAGGGATTAAAGTCATATGAAACCAAGTGCCAAGAGGGTGTCCAGTCTCTATTTGGATTTTGACAAAGAGAGGGGTGAGGGGATGAAATCATAGGATGAAAAGAAGAGGCTACGTGGGGGGAAGAATTTATTCAAAAGCTTAAGGGACCAGTGAGATGGCTCAGTGGGCAAAGGTCTTGCAGCAGAAGCCTGGAAGCCAAGTTCTATCACGGGAAACCGTGAAAAGGTGGAAGGAGAGAACCAACTCCACCACACTGTCCTCGGACCTCCATACATGCACCCGACCCCCCACACACCCCCGCCGCCACCGCCACACACACACACACACACACACACACACACACACACACACACACACACAATGATAATAAATTATCTTAAAACTCCAGCTGTGTTCATTTGGAATGAAAAGGAAAACAGGTTCTCTGCTAGACGGTAAGAGCCGAGATAGTGAGAGCCTCCAGAGGAGACAGTGACAGAAGAGCTAGGGACGGAAGCATTACCTGCGCACTGACAGCCCCAGGTCAGCTCGGACACTGAGACAAACAGTGAGCCCTACGTAGTTATCAGATGCTGGCCTGTGCTCAGGGGCAGGGTCTCAACAGCCAGGAACACTATGGGTGCTAACATGGCTTGTCAACTAGACAGTAGAATCCCCTAGAAGACAAACCTCTGGTCACGTCTTGAGGGAGTTTCTGGATTGGGTTAACCGAGGTGAAATGACCCATCCTGCATGTGAGGGGGCATCATCGCACAGACTGGGGTCCCAGACTAAATGTGAAGGAGAAATGAACCGAGAAAAACAGTTCTCTGCTCTCAGCTTCCAGGCAGCCGATGCAGTGTGACCGACCAACTGCCTCACGCTGCCGCTGCCATGCCTTCTCCTCCACGACGCATCCCTTAAACTGTGAGACAAAACCAACCTCCCTTCCTCACAACAATGAAAAAATAAATGCAAACACCATCCAGGCTTCTAGGACAAAAGACAGCTGATGTTTTAAAAAAGTTTTATAAAATATAGTAACAAATAGTAAATTTAATATTATATGAGAAATATTTCACCAAAGTGTTATCTGAAGTTATTATGCACCTAGGTGCCTGAATTGTGGGCATAATATCAAATGGGGTAAGCACATGAGGGCTTTGGGGGTCAGCACCCTACAAAGTGGCAAATCCTGTGTTTTGGTGAGTTGAGTTAACCACTGAGCCCTCTCTCCAATCCCCAAATGTTTATTTGCAAATCTGCATGAGCATACTTGATTTCTTCCAGTGTGCTGCTTTGCTGTGTACTCTGTGTCGGTTTTTACTGGGGTAACTGCCCTTCTGTGAGTGGCTATCTTTTTTGAAACACGCTTCAATACCTCCGTTCTATCTCAATGATGTTTAAGATGTATTTGCTTTACTCTCATGTGCTGGGTAGAGTTTATCCACATTAATCATGTTTTCCCATTGGAATCTCTTGTGTTTTACAGCCTGTCAGGAGAGCAGACACTCACATTTCCTTTTGGGCCATTCTTTGGGCTGGCAGAACATTGTTCACATTCAGAAACACTGATTTCCTACAAGATTCTCATGTATCAGCTGCTGCATTTACAAGGCAAAATATACGTGTGATGCTTAAAATATCTACAGAGGGAAACACTCAATTAATTTCCCAGTCACACCTATAGATAAAGAATGCAGCTTTACCCCTCAGCTGTCTGCTATGCCAGCACCAACAGCATCTATCAAAAATTAAAATGCCAGCATCACTCAGGTCTAGCAAGGACATCTGGGAGGGTGGAAACTTGACGCCTTGTCTTCAGGGCGGTAAGAGCTGATATGCAACATGCAGAATGAGCCGTGAACATGAGAAACCCCTTAACCTGACAGTTTTACCTCAGGAGAACTCATTCTGATTATGAGATCCACATCGATACGATTTATAATGGAATGATTAGTAATAGTGTAATTAAACAATCATGAAGTATCCACCTTAGGGCTCCACATAGATCTGCTGGCTCGGAGGGGCAGCTGAAGCACCACCATAGCATTCATTCACTGAGAGTGGCCATGTTGAGTGTGCATGCACAAACAGAACATGCTTTAGAAGAGTGAGTTTTAATGTCAGTTTTATTAGTTATTTACTCTTGTCTGGATTTCGTAATTTTTATATAATAAATGCCTAGACTTTTGTAGTTACAGTATTCATTCATATATCCACTCATCTATCCATCCAACCAACCAGCCATTCATGTAAACAATGGTTTTGAAGCCTCCCCCGTCCCCACCCCTATCATGCTTCCTAGAGACACATAGACTGTGAAATTGCCTGACAAGAACTGCTCATATTTGAGTGAATCTGGTGACCACCATCCCCTGACAAACCAGTCTCTCCTTGCTCACCTATACCCTCCCACACAGGCAATGATGGATCCTGCTCACCAAGGTCTCCCGGATGCAGGGCATCTTTAACAGCCTCTGGGCTCCACTCTCCACAGTGACTCCCAGCCAGTTGAGTGCTGCCCAGCACCAGAGGTCTTCATAGCTGCCATGCCAGTAGCTCACAAATGCAAACGTCATCGCAGTAGAAAGCAGTGTCCCCAGAAGGCCATGCTGGGACCCACCCAGTGGAATGTACACATACCTGGAGAAAGAAGAGGCTGTGAGAAGCTATGCTGATGGGTGGAGAGATGCACCTGCCTCTCCCTGCACTCTGGCTTGACTCCCTTGAATACTAGCATTATTGTTTAAGGTACAAAGATCCACTTCCAGGAAGCTGTAGGCCAAACCTTGAACTCTCCACCTCACTCATTGTTGGCAAAATCCTAAACTTGCACAGGGTGTGGCTTTAGGTTAGATGAGCATACATACCAAGGAGCCCTTATTGTGGCAAAATTGTACTTACAAGAGGGGCAGTGATGAGTTTAGAGCTGATGAATGGATGTACCCATCCTTGCAGCCCATCATGTGGCACCTACTAAGATGCTGGCATTGGGAGGACACTGACCATCATGGCAAGTGTGCATTTTACAACTTAGACTACTAAATTTATGGTAAAGCCATATTTAAAATAATGGGGAAATCATTATTTAGACACAGTTGCTAAAAGCAGGCCCTTACAAGGTAGGAGTGGGGTGCATAAGAAGGATAATGGAGCTGGTCCCAGATTCCCAGGCAAGTGGCCCAGAAGCAAGTATAGAGAGGAGCTCTACACTCAACGGAGTGCTGTGCCAAAGCCTTACCTCTGCCCCAGTGCCTGGCATCCTTAGATATGTCTCCATCCCTGAGTCACTAATGCCCAGGTTATGGAAGTGCAGAGATTCACACTCCTCTGTGGTTTCTAGAAGACCACAGGCCTCAGTCATTCTGGTCAGTTCCTCTTTTTCCCAGAGGGGACAAGAGGTCTTTATGATGTCTTCTGAGACACTTTACAAGGGTCTTTTCTACTTGATTCCTTGAGGCACCATGCTTCACATCTGCCCTTCCAGAATCCATCCCAGAATCCTTAATGTTTTATTATTTGTACTATACACACATTACTTTCTTACTGTTGAAGAAACTTTATTTAAAAATCATTTTTAGGGGCTGAAAAGATGGCTCAGTGGTTAAGAGCACTGACTGTTCTTCCAGAGGTCCTGAGTTCAATTCCCAGCAACCACATGGTGGCTCACAACCACCTGTAAGGAGATCTGGTGCCCTCCTCTGCCCTTGCAGAGGACACATGCAGGCAGAACACTGTATACATAATAAATAAATAAATCTTTAAAAAATCATTTCTAATAGAACTCCTTCTCAGAAGAAGCCAAAAGTAAATAAAATTAATCAGACCAAAAGATAAATGTCAAAAAACTATGTAAGTATTTTATTTGAAATAATTTAAACAATGTATAAAAATTAAGCTTATTACTAAGACATTGAGTGGCAAGTCAATGTACATTCAATGTAATTGGCCCCTCACACTCTGCTTTTCCATCTGGGGCTAGAATTCAGGACCTTGTGCATGCTGGGAAAGTGCTCTACCACATCCCCAGCTTCTTTCCAACTTCTGTTTTTCTTTTTGTTGAATATGTTCAGAATCATTTCTCCAAGCTTCTCTAAATGCACAGGTTACTGTCCTCAGTCGGCACTGTCCCCCACCCCCACCCCCAAGAAACCCGGCATAAGTTTCACACAGTACCTGTGGCTCTTCCCGGCATTTCTCATCCTGCCCCTACCCTAAACCCTACAAAGCCCCTCCCAGGAGCTTCTCATCTCTTCCCCCAGCTCCTGATTCCTACATAAATCAGCCTTCTTGGTTCTCTTGGCCTGGTCTCCTCTCTTCTCTCCCCCGCCCCCTCCTCTCATGGCCCAGTCTGTCCTGCTGGCCATGTTCAGTCTGGACCCTTCTAAAGGCCTCTGACCATTCTCTCCCTCATATCGACAATAAACCCTTCTCCTCAACCATGTCCTGCCGTCACGTCCTCGTTCTCATTCAGTCACCTCACCCGCACCAGGACACTTGGACTTCCTGTCCCAGCCAGCTGTGATGGGGACTGCTCCTGGAAGTGCCTGGGGTTGATCTCTAGGTCTCACACAGGACTCTGCCTCCTCCACAGACTCTCCCCTTGACTAAGCTCTATCAGGTCCCTCGAAGCCCCCTACAACGTGGCTTGTTGTTCGTGCTTGTCTGGCCTGCACCGCCCAGGTGTAACAAGAATCCCGCTAGGTCAGTTTAGGGAATGTCCCTCCCTGCTCCACCTGATCAGCCTTCATGTCCTGATTCCTCTCCCCTCCCTCAGCCACCTCAGTTAGCCTGGCCACCTGTCAGCAACATCCAAGGCCATCCTCTGGCTTGTACACACATATGCATGCACACACAAAAAACACATAACTGCACATGCATGCACATATAATCCTGTACACACATGTGCACACACACACACCTGTATATGCATGCACATGTAATCCTGTACACATGTATATACACATACATACCTGCACACATATGCAGATAATCCTGTACACACATGCATACACACACACACCTGCACACACATGCACAGATAATCCTGTACACACATGCATACACACCACAGGGAGTGCTCCTTCAGCTTCCAGCATTTACTTATTAAGCCTTCCAGGCACCTGGCATTATAAGACACAAAGACCTCAGATGTTCTTGCCCTGGCACGGGCGAGCCTGGCTGTGAGACAACATCAGGTCCTGCTGTGAGGCGACATGCCATATGACAGGTCCGTCAGGAAGACTTCAGTGTGGGAGAGATGGGGTTGAGGAGACCAGAGGAGTGTGGGAGGCTGGACCACAGAGGGTCCCACTTTGGGGAGGCATCAGGAAGAGGCTCTTTAAGCAGAGAGAAGAGCTGGGCGCTGCTGGCGGGACACCGAGGAGGAGGGGCGGTGAGCCTGAGAACACCTGCAGGAGTGCAGCTCTTACCTGGAGCTCTGCTGCCCCCTAGAGGCTACGTGGTTATCAGCGTGAAATCGGGAGAGGATGTGGGCTGGAACCTCAGTGGTCTCCTATAGGCACTGAGGTAACTAACCCCTTCCCACCACAGTGCTACTGTCAGGTATTGTAACACGGTATGCTTTTAAAAGATGGTCATCTTCAACAGTGTGACTAAAGGAAACATTGCAGTATTTACAGGTTTGTTTACATGTTATGATGGTACACACTAAAGAAAAATAAGCCTCACATGTCAGAAAACCCAGTACAGAATAAAAGCCTGCCATGCCTCCCACCAGTGAGACTTGTCATTGGGTCCAAATCCAAAAGGGACCTGTCTGCAAGCTAGGGATGCTGCAGCGGCTACCCCCTCCTCACATGTAGCGGTTTAAACCATAAGCTCTTACTTTGCTTTTGAAAATGACAGCTGACCAAAAACAGTCTCTGAAAATTCTTAATAATCCAGGAACTAAGAAATTACAATATTGCAGGTCTCCAAGAGCACAAAACTTCTTTGTTCCAAACCTGAAAGAGGGTGGACTCTTCACTCCTCATTTCTGGAAGGCGGTGGGTTGGCGAGAAGAGGGAATAGGGGCTCTCTCTTCAATACATCCCACCAGCCTGGTTCTGTGATTAGTAAGAAGACAGGCATGTCTGTCTCAGAAACGTTCACGAGCCACTCAGATGAGCTGCACAGCCACTGATCTCTGGCGGGAGACACACTCAGCAGAGCAAAAACACCAAGTGTACGGGACATACAGCCTGATCCTGCCTGGCCAGCCGTGTGTGGTCACTGTCTGCAGAGAACGCTGACGGAGGGTGGCACCTCTCTGCAGGCGCCACCTTCATGCAAACATAGCTCACAGAATCAACACAACATGGGTGCCCCCAAGCCAGCAGGAAGCTAGCAGCAACACGTAGATGGTGTTCACAATGCCTGCCCCTGACCGGGTGCCCATGCCAGGTGCTTTCTGCACACTTCAGGCAAAAAATGACAAAGCTTGTTTTGCCCTGAGAGGTCCAACTTAAACCGGTGTGTTCTCTGTCACCATTATCACAGTGGGAGTCGTCCTCGGTGGTAAATGCTCCCCTAATTTGATCAGGTGGGCAGATTAGTCTCCATAGACATATCCACTAGTCTTTTGGGGACAGGACCTCTCACTGTAACCCCAGCACGCTCATAGCAAACTTCCTGCCTCTGCCTCCCCAGAGCTGTGACTACAGTTACATGCCACCGTGCACTGTCTTTTATTAACTAGGAAAAATAATGCTCCTTTACAGAGATGGGCATCCACTGAAGCGTTCAAGACAACCCAGAGGCACTCCAAAGTGCATCACTGCCACACTAAGGGATGAAGCCAAAGCAACGTCCTCTTAGATTACTGTGACCAAGGACAAGCCCACATTGCAGTCCTTCCCTCTCTCCTGTCTGCCTGCAGTCTGTGGTCAGAGGCTGATCTGTGGTCTGTCTGTCATGTGAGCCGGAAACTGTTAGTTTTCGTTAGTTGTGTCTGCGTGCTGTGCCTCTCCCTAACCCAGGGCTTTGCTCTGTGTTTATTGAAGAACACAGGAAACAGGTCATAGGACCGAAATGAGTAATTCTTTACAGAATCCTCAACAGAGCTTTCTAGGGAAAGAAGTTGCTTTACTGACTGTGACTAGCACTCAAGATTACAACAGACATTATCAAACTATATCTATATCGCCTGCAATATTTATAGTAAAATTTGTTTGATGGTTGCTTTCAATCTGTTGGCTGCTTTCAGCAAATGGTCACCACTACGTGTGTGTGTGTGTGTGTGTGTGTGTGTGTGTGTGTGTGTGTGTGTGTGTACATACAATATTCTGGGTCAGGACATGGAAGAGTACATACTTTAAGATTAAAGCTGTGAACTAGCCTAGGTTGTAAAAGCTGATTTTGTGGGCGATCTAAAGCAAGCCAGGTTGGTTGTATTATTCTCTTAAAGGCAAGTTAAACAGGCTGAGTACACAGTAGGCTAGCAGGTTAATTACATAGTCTTAAATGATTTCAAGACATACAATTAACTTGGACGCAAGGTCCAACAAAAGTTCAGTCTCTTTGGGGTCAAGGGATCTTTAGAACACTGTATCATTACAAACGTGTTTGGGCTGGTGAACTCTATTAGTTCTATTAGAACTACTATTGAGTGTAGCGCCAAGAGTCGGGGTATAATATTTGTT